AATACCTCGATGATGGTCGTGTTGAATGTTTATCTCAACCGGAGGTGACATCAAATATTAAAAAAGACTCAAATTCTCAAATGCCCATGAAAGTCCAAAATTCTAAAATTATAACCCAAAATCAAGATATTTAAAATTAAATTAATCATTAAACACTTAAAACAAAAATACTCATCCACCCTCCGCAACAATTTGTCGAGGTGCACAAATCTAAAAATCACTTTAGCTCACAAAGAGCAAATGCCTAGTCGAGAACATCACTAGAATTCATTCTCAATCTGTCTCTTATTATAAAGGATATGACACGTATCCTATAACCGGTAATTTAGTGCCAAATGACACCATATGTAAACAGTTATGATTGGGACCCTTTGATCAGATGGTTTTACCATTAAATGGCACCATTAAATTACAGTAATGTTTAGAGCTTGTATGTTCCCCAACAGCATCAAATCTTTGAGTAATTAATTAACATGATATGATCGAAAGGGCACAAAGTCCTTCGTTAGCTAAGGTGGATTCAAATTTGTCCCCTTAAATAAATATTCATCTAATGCCTACAAAGTACCCTTAGATGAAGCAACTCATGGCTGCCAACAAGGATCCTTTGATCAAGTTGGGGCGACAACCTCCTCTGACTAAGCAGATTAGGGACCATAATGACCCGGGACGATGGAACCATGAGATTTTGATCGAGTTCATCATCATTCCCCCCACCATTCGTTCTAAGTGTAAGGTGGTAAATTTTTAATTTTAAATATTAAATTTTTAAATACCCAAATCACGTTGCTACTATACATCAAATACCACGTATTCGTTCGACGACTAGCCTTAATCGAAAGTTTTCTCTCATTATCAGGAGGGGTAATTAACTATAGGGGCTTGCGTAGAAACTTGAACTCAAATCATAAAGTCCTCGAAAAATGAGTGAAATCTTTGGGTAATGTCTTATTCAAAACCCAATCTGCTTTCTAAAATGCCTCAGAGCATACTCGTTAAAACTCTCCTCGACAGTCCGAGATAGAAAGAAAAGGAGTCCCCAGAGAGGCTAGGGCATGAATTTTTGAAGCCCACATTTGTATAAAAATTGTTTTATAATTCAATCCAAAGTTTGAGCGTAGCCTCTTTACATGAGTCTACCTTTATACCCTTCAAGTGTCCCAATTGCATTATATTTGTTAGTGTATATCTACGTATATCCATTATTTTCTTTCTTTGTACCCATTTTACTAACTCTCATGTTTGATTTTCTTTTAGGATCCCATTTCTTCAATCGTTGCATTTTTCCATTCTTTAGTCTCTACTCTCAAGTACTCCATGGATGGTTCTTGAACTCTAATATTGCTTATCTTGATAAGAAAACTTTTATGAAAGGTAGAAATATTAGAAAGTAAAATAAAGTAGGCTATTAAATGTTGGGTGCATGTTCAGCTTTCAAATTCTAATACAATAGAAAGATTAATAACATGATAAAATTGAATTTCAAAAGCAAAGGTCATACAATCACTGTTTAGTGTTTGATCTTGCATGGATTCAGATGGTTGAGCATACTATAGTTCAGTGTTGAACTCTTCTTTCTTTCTTCTTGTGTATACTTGTAATACTAATTAGGAAAGATTTTGATAGTCATTTCCTATGGAGGCTATTTTTATCTATAGGGAAGTCTCAGGATTACTTGAGACTAATTAGGTTACTTAGGTGGTTGCGAGATCAGGTGTCAGGAAATCAAAGTTATCCTCATTCCAAGGCTTCCCTTAAAAACAATATTAGTCATAAAATCCTTGATTTTTAACAAATGCAACATATTGAGTGTTGAAGACTTTTTTGGTATTGGGATGGTGCGACTTATACCCTCTTTGAGTTGAGGAGCAAATGAAGATGCATCTTAAGGCTCTTGGTTCTATTTTAATATTTGGATAGTATTGATGGATACATTTAACACTCCTAAAGGTTTTAAGTAGAAATAGTGATATTGTATGCTTGTGAAGAATTTCACGAGGGTTGTTTTGTAAAATTCTACCAAGGAGGCAATTTGATAGAAATATAACAATTAAAGTGGCCTCGCTGAATAAAACTTCAAGATATTCCTTTCAAAGAGTAGTGGGGCTCTAATGGTTTTAAGGAGCTGTGCTCTTTGTTTTTGCAACCCCATTTTATTGTAGGGTGTCAGGATAGGATGATTCAATGAAGACGTCATCTTCATGGAGGAGAGAAGATGTGATTAAAATATTTCTTTCCATTATCATTTTATGAAACATGAGGAAGATTGTACTTACATCATAGTTATTTTCATGAGAAAAAGCCAGGTAGTGTGTGAGCAATCGTCTATGAAAGTTATAAACCATCTATCTCCATTCATATTAGTAATCGGAAATGATCCCCAAACAACTAAGAGGATAAGGAAAAAAAGAAAAAGCTGTCAAAGTTTTTGAGTGGCTTAGGGGTAGGAAACTTAATAGTTTTTGGTGATTTCACACACCTTATATTGGAACCCTTTAACATTATTATACTGAATAGTGCTAAAACCTGAAACATTGATTGTAATACACTAAAAGATGGATGAATTATTCATATATGATGGAGCTGAATTTGTACCCTTGTATCAAAATTTCAAGACATATGAAACTGAGATAGGTTATTACTACTTCTATTCAATTAATAGCATCCATCTTGTTCTTTAGCAATCCCAATCATCTTTCTTATGGCTTGATCCTATAATAAAAAATGAGGGAAATACTCACATGATTGAGCCATAGAGCAAGTACCCATTGATAAATTAATGTCAAGATGTCAAGAAGCAGGAGAGTTTCTCCATTTCTTCTTGCATTATTCCTTCTATGTCTATGGCAATCTTTTATTCTAAGGATATATTGTTTGTTTGATGATATCTAAACTGGCTTTGATATGGAGGCTTTTTTTTATTTGCATGGGAGCTTCCCTTGAAGTTTTTGGCGGATGTTTTTTTGTGTCCAGCTTTCTTACAGTAGTTGTAAAACATACATTCTCAATTATTGAGCTTTGGTGGACCTTCTTTAAGTTTGTACAGCTTGATTCTACTTGCATTTGGTGTCGGGACAGCAAGTAAAGCAACATTTATAACAAAGAGTGGTGTTTCTAAGATAGCACCATCCCTACCTTCTTCACTTCAAGACTTATTTTGGCAAGAAAGGGGTGCTTTAACAAGTATTTGAATTTTTATTTGGTTATATTCAGCAATTAGTTCTTCTTCAATAAAAATTTGTAGCATTTAAATCTATTCATTATATCTAATTTTGATACCTTACTTGGTGGTATGAATTTTTATCCTTATCTCATAGACTAAGGTTGCAACACACATCTTGGAATACGATTTCTTTACCACATCCCAGATATCCTTGGTTTTAGTTATGAAAATTTAGGTTTTACAAACTTTTGGTGCCATTAAATTCCATAGCAATGAAATAATTAAGGAATCTTCTACATCCATGTGACAAAACCAAGATTCTTTGCTTCGTATGGGGCCAATAAGGTGGCCCAACTAGGGCTGTCAAAACCAGGTCCCGGGTCGGGTTCGGGTCCAACCGAAATTGACCTGACACTGTTCAACCCGACCCGAACCCGACCTGTTTTTGCAAACGGGTCGGTTTTTCGAACCCGAACCCGACCTGCTACGGGTCCGAGTCAACCCGAACCCGACCCGATTCGGGTATATTTTATTAAATTTTTTTATTTAATTCAATTTATTTAAATCAAAATCAAATTAAGGTAAGATTTACTTCAATTAATTTAAAATAAATCAAGATTAATTTAATTTGGACAATAATGTTTATAATTTTTTGATCATTTACTTAGTTCATAAAAATCCTTTAAAACCCTCCTAAATTAATTTAAAACGGGTCAAACTGGGTTGATTTCGGGTTTCCGGGTCAACCCCAACTCGACCCGGTTTTACAAACGGGTCGAAATCCCTAACCCAAACCCGACCCGGTTCGGGTTGACCCGAACCCGAAATTTTTGGGTCGGGTTCGGGTCGGGTTTTCGGGTCAGGTCAAATATTGACACCCCTAGGCCCAACTTTGGTTGGGTTCGGGTTCGGGTTCGGGTTGAGCCGAACCCGAACCCGAACCCAAAATTTTCGGGTCGGGTTCGGGTCGGGTTTTTGGGTCGGGTCAAATATTGACACCCCTAGGCCCAACTTTCCCTTTGAGAAAAGTTTTCACAATATGGAACAAAATAAGTTAATTTTTTCTTTTAACTTGAATGAAGTTGAAGGTTTTGACACTAACCTACAAAGATTTGATTAAAATCATCCGATTACTTAAAATATAGCAAAAATATTTCTTTAAGAGAAAAGAGATTTCCTCTTAGTAGAGTAGGTGTCTTGTGGCACTAATTGGAGGTAATGTGAGGTGATGTGAGGCAGCAGATAGCAGTTGCGGAGTATAGTAGGAGGGGACTCAGGTGAGAGGCAGCCTTCATCAGTGGGGGCAAAATAATAGCAGCAAAGGGTGGGGGTTGGGGAGGCGGACAATAGTAGCAAGTGGTAGAGGGGATTTTGGTCTAACGGAAACTACTTAAAAAAAAAATCATTCCTCTGTATTCCTTAAGCTCTAATACCGTGAAGAGAGGAAAATATATTTGAATTTTGTGTGTAGTCCATTGATGATCTTGCCCCGCCATTTATACCGCAAGATTCTATATTACAAATGAAAATTTTCATATATGGAAACTACTAATTACATCGAAAATCAAGGAAGATATTTTACAGCTTGCATGCATTTGAGGCCCAAAGATTGCCAATAATGGATGTCAAGACGTGTGGCCAACTTTGCAATCCCACAAATTGCCAAAAGGTTACTAGCAATAAAGCTCATAAATTGACAGCTTAAAAAAATTAAAAACCAACGCTATAAATTGAAGAAATTGAAATAAAAAAACATAACAATAAAAAAGATTAGAAGGGAATGAAATGAAAAATAAAATTAAAAACAAAAACAATTTATGAAATTTCATAAGTAAACCTCTCTGGAGCCCTGAGTGGGTTGTGCAAACCATGTTTTGGACACTTCGATAAGCTCTCCACAAATGGCTGCAAGAAAGCACACTAAACATTCAAGTACAAAAAGGTGAAAGGTGACCAATAAAAAAATATGGTCAAAAAACACCATGCTTGTTTTTCAAGATGCAAACAAAGAAGTTAAGCAAGACAAGAAGAAAATAATGGTAAGAATAAGGAAAAAAAAGGGTGCCTTTAACTGTTCTTCTGGCACTTCTGCCACTTTGATGAATGGTTCTCCATTCAATGGATCTACAATTGTATTCCATTCAGTAGATGTCTTCCAACCACCCTGCACTGAACAAATACCACCGATGCTCACACATAACTTCATCAATTTCTTAAGACAATAAATTGGACATTCCACTCCCACCTAGTGCAGACCTTCAAATATGGTTTTGGTTCATTACACTTGAATAAATTTGAATTGAAAATGTACATTTAAAAATAGAGTGACATACCCTAAATCGGCTCAATGTACATAAGAAAATATAGTTCTATATGCATAAAGTAGTTCACTTAGAAGTTAGAAAAGGTATGTTTGAATTAAAGCATGCATGAAAAATAAAAATGCGCATTTTAGATTAACCTAACATTATTTCATGCTTTCTCTTGGACGAACTAAGTTAAAAGCTGGTCAAAAGAGGCAGGATCTTACCTAAGTTATGTACTTCAGCAGGGTGAGAACCTGAAATTTCTTCTGCATCTATGGTAGCAAAGGGGAATGAATGTATGCGCCTTCTGTAAATTGAAAAAGAAATATGAACCAAAATTAATAAATAAATGATAAGCTTAGGCTGCAAGAAAGAAACTATAAAATGCTGCATTATTGACCTAATCTCCTCTAAAACTTTACTTCATATATCATTATTGTGACTGAAGCATAGGGAAGCAAAACAGAATGTTGTAAAAATGAAACTCATAGGGCAATAATTGATTGTATGCAAATGAAATTCAGCTTTAACTACCGTAACTTTCTTAATTTCATGAGCCATGTCTGGCTTCATATAAACCAAACTTCAAAAGCAAAACATGCAAGCAATTCAAATAAATAAAAGTCCAAAAAATATAGTCAGCATACAGTTTAAGGAATGTATTAGCAACCACCATCCCAATTCTCTGGTGGAATATGAACAGCTTATACATAAAAAAAAAGGGGATTTACACATACATATGACAAAATTTTTATATATTTAGATGTATATCTTCTAAATTTTTTATTTACTTATATAATCAAATTTTTAAATCATTAAATGTTAACTTAATTTAAAGCTAAATATAAAATGAAACATTCTAAAAAAGGACAACCTGTCCTTCACCTGATCAATCAAGCCAATGCATTTGATGGGCCGTCTCAATGAAATATGCAGCAAACAGTTGGTGATGCAATTTCTTGATTTTCTTTTCTTATTGAGGCAACATTCGAAACAAAGCTTAAATTCCGAAACCCAAAAAACCAACAAATAGTTAATAAATTACAAGTATTATTGATATATTTGTAAGAAGGTTATCGGTGAAGGCAAAGCTGTGGAAAAACCAAGCGTTCCAGCTGATCGCAATTCGTTCCATCATGTAATGAATCGGATGCATACCTGGAAGTGAGTGAAGTAAAGAGGAAACCACTCGCCGCTCTATTCGCTACAGTTCGGAATACACTGCAAGGCTTGAAACGAAACATGATGTTGATCGTCGGAATTGGGATCGCACAGCTTCTACTGTAGGCTTAGAAGTTTTAGAGATGGAATAGTTCTACTGCGGGTTAGAAATAGCAGAGCTGTAGAAGATGGAAAAGCTCGCTGCGAAGTTAATTTGGGAGATTAATGGACGATCTCGACCTTTGGATCAGCCTATAAAGAACACCAAAAAGGTGAAGCTGCTAATTTCAACAGATAAAAGCGAGGGGCTGCTTCGATCACCGGGAGACGGCTGGTGGAGACTGGAGAGTTCATTGGAGGACGGCGAACATGATATTATATGATTTTTTTTTTTTTTTTTTTTTTTTTAAATATTATATATTTATAATTAAAATAAGTTTTTTCAAAAAAAAAAAAAAAATCCTAAACTTTATTGGTGACCGGACCGGTGGTTCTATTATGCCAAAGATCGGCTTGAAATTTATGGATAAAGCAATGCCAATAGAGAAGAAATTATTCTACGTCAAATTCAAACAATATTATATATTGTATACACATGCGTATTTATAGATTGTGTATAAAAATAAAAGTATATAGTGTATACACACTATATACACTCACAATTTAGATTCAACTCTGTGTCCGGACTCCGCACAGAATAATTTCTCCCAATAAAGATGTTATATATTTGTATTAAAAAAACACATGTAAAATCACTAAATTTGGAGGCATTGGGATCCCTGCCCTCAGTAATCTAACCCATGCCTTTGATTGCTCTCTAATATGGGAGAAATTATTTTGTTCGGACGCCGGACGTAACTCTACGTCCGGATGCTACGGTACAGAGCGGTACCGAGTACCGAGCCGCGGTACAGTAAAATAATTACGTGGTATATTTTATTGGTCTTTGGATGTTGTTCGGTGTTAGCACAGAATAATTTTTCCTAATTATGAAGAACACTCACTACTAATAATTTACTAGCGAGTGGTGGAGAGAGAAATATATTTGCTTATGGTTCGAAGGCAAAACCAATCAAACCTATTTCTGGGGGGAAAAAAAAACTCAACGGGTATTGTTCCTCAAATGTTAAACCTTCTCGCTTTCTCAATTACCCTATATAGCAATCTTCCTTTACTTGAAATCCCTTGATTTTTGGGGGAAAATCTTGAAGAGTTTTACAACTACACTAACTGTTTGGCTAGGCTTCCTAGCTCTATGAAGCTTTCTAATTGTATTCTTCACAGTAAATGGAACCTCTCTAAGATCATTCATGAGCATATGAGAAACCTACTTCATTCAGTTCCCATTCTACCTGCTGGGACGGATAGCTGTTTGAGGATGTGGCTTATCATTTAACCTCTTAGGTTTCGTTTCGGACGGCTTTTTTATTGCTTTCTAAAACAGATTTTTAGTACAAAATTTTTTAATTTTGTACTAAAACTGTGTCTCTAAAACGAAGCCTTAATCTTTGAAATAAGGTCTAATAAATCATCAATGAAATCCAATGCTTGCATAATATTTGGATGCAAGAGAAAAGTAGAGACAGGAAGAATAAAGATTAAGGCTTCGTTTGAGAGGGTGTAGCATTCATAAGAGACAACAGAGATTTTACGTGGAAACCCCTAAAAAGAGAGAAAAACCACGAGGCCTGACCCAATTTGTGAATCTACTATTATTTGCAGTCGATTACAAATGAGGCCCTTCATTGGAGGGAAGGCCTTGGCTTGATATAATAAATATACATCACATAGAATGCATTACATGGTAGAAATTAGAAGAATTAATATTGATATGTTCGTTTAGTAGGCATGAACGTAGTCGGCAGGAGATAGTGGTCAGAAATATTATTGTCTAGCGATGCAGATCAAAAGGACTGTAGTAAGTGACGGAGGTCGGGAGCACCATAGTCAGTAGGAGATAGTGGTCAGACAGACCATTGTCTAGCGATGGAGGTTGTAAGGATCTTAGTAGGCGACAGGGTCGGAAGGATCGTAGCCGGCACAAGATAGGGGTCAGAAAGACCGCTGTCATAAGGCGGTAGTCCGGGGGAACTCTGGCATTAGGTCGTGGTCCAGTGGAACACCGGTGTTAGGTGGTGGTCCAGCGAAACTCCAGGCATCAGGTGGTGGCCCGGCAGAACACCGACATCAGGTGGTGGTCCGGCGAAACTCCGGGCGTTAGGTGGTGGCCCGACGGAACATCGGAGTCAGATGTTGGTCCGACAAAACTTCAAGAGTCACGTTGTGGTCCAGCAGAACAACAGCATTATGTGGTGGTCTGAAAAAACTCCGGGCATCAGGTGGTGGTTTGGCGGAACACCGGTGTCAAGTGGTGATCCGACAAAACTCCGGGCATCAGGTGGTGGCTTGGCAGAACACCGGCGTCAAGTGGTGGTCCGACGGAACTCCGGGCGTCATGTGGTTTTCCGATAGAACACCGGCATCAGATGATGATCTGGCAAAACTCTGAGCATCACGTGGTGGTTCTGTGGAACACTGACATTGGGTGGTGGTTTAGAGTAACTTCGGGCATTAGGTGGTGGTCCGGGAAAAACTCCTGGCATTAGGTGGTGGCCCTATGGAACACCGGCGTCAGGTGGTGTTTTAGTGAAACTCCGGGCATCAGAAGGTGGTCTGGCAGGGCTTTGAGCGTCATGTGGTGGTCCGGCATAACTCAGGGCCTCAAGTGGCAGTCCGGCCGAACTCCAAGTGGTGGTCGAGTAGGAGCGAGGAGGCAAGAGCGATCTCAGATCTCTCTCTTGCTCTCTTGCATAGAGTCCCCTTTCAAGAGGGATGAGGGGTCTATTTATAGATTTTTTTATAGTGGCATTGCCCATAAATAGAAGGAAGATCAAGGGAAAATGAGGAGTGGTATGGATGGATGACCGATGTTGAATCTCTTGATTGTGGATTGTTCGCTAGACATTTGAAGGTCTTAATGATGTCAGAATTCTATGATCTTGAGCTCATTGGATTTGTCTCGTCGAGTCGCTCGATTTGACTACAAGCATGTCACATTTAGAAACTATTTGGTAATCTGAATTGTGGTTCAAGTTACTAGCTCCTCCTCCCTTCCCAATGAAATCTTCTATTGTATTGATGGCAAAACCTTTCCTCTAAGAATGCAATATGACTAGAAATCAGAATATTGTTCCTAGTGTGGCTCTATCATGCACCCCCCCAACACGCTAGGTCCCAAAGATCCGATCTTACGGCCTCATACTGCTACCAGACCCAGGGTAGAAGCACTATTAGTAAGCCCGAACTAACACCCCCACCCCGTATATCCATACCCAAACCTAATACTTTACTGAAACCTAACCACCCTCCCCCAAACCCCCCTCTTCTACAGAACCCGCCCTCTGTTATGCTAATCCCCAACCTAAATTCTCCCTCTGGAGATCTCATTGAAATCCCAGACCCAACCCCTTCAACACAGGAGCTCCCTCCTACTGTCAACACCAAAAACAAATTTGATGCTCTTGCGAAAAATGGATTAACAGAGCAATCCCTCCTCTCTTCTCATAATCCCAACACCTCCACAAGCCTCACTAATCCTAGCAACAATAGTCCACCGCAAACTTCTCCTCATCATCACCAACCTATTATCTCCCATTCTCTTGACCAATCCACTTCCAGTTCAAATACCCTCAAAACCCAACAACAAAGCCAACAAACCACAAAGCAACCTAGAAGAAAATAAGCCATAAAACCTTCCTCCCCCAAATGTTAATTATCATTCCAAAATTAGCAGCCTGGATATCAGCGGGTTTAATAGCCCGGAGAAAGTCTTATGCTGCAAACAACTTGTGAAAAACCATAACCTTAACCTCTTATTTATCCTTGAAGCTAAAATTTCCCAAGCTAACCTCTCCAACCCTTGGTTCCAAGACCAACACAAAATTTTCCCTTTGGAAAACTCCTGTGACAATTTTTTGCATTCTAACCCTTGTAGTATTTGGGTTAAATGGAATGAGGCTAATGTGAAGTTCATCCATGAACACACCACTAGTCAACTTATTCATTATATCATTTGGATTGGCTCCTCTCCTAGCTTTGTCGTCACTGTTGTCGGTTACCTAACGAAAAAGTAGGGGGCACCCCTCTTACCAACACAAATCTAGGAGACTTTAATAGTATGATTACATGATCTTTCTTCTGTGGGGCATTTTTATACCTAGTATAACCACCAGTATAACAATCCCATCCACATCAAGCTTGATCGTGTGCTAGTCAATGATTGCTGGCTTGACTGCTTTCCCAATCCTACTATAAAGTGGGTGACCCTAGTTTCTCAGGTCATTCACCCCATTTTTTGACGAACTCTAGGGATGTTATGAAAGGCCACATATTTATGTACAAAAATTGTTGTTCTAAGCTTCACTTTTTTGGGATTGTCTATTTGATTTCTTCTCTCAACCCAACAAGAGCAGACCTCTTTGCTCCTTCAATTTCAAGCTGAAAACCCTCAAAAACAACATCAAACATAAACACTGGTCCAACTCCAACAACATCCTACTGGAGGTTGACTCTCTCTTAGCTCTACAAAATTTATTTATTAACCAAATCCAGAACAACCCTCTAGATGCTCTCCTTAATGCCAACCTGAAACTCATTAATACCAAACTCAACCACTACCACTCCACCCTATCTTGTTGGACTGCCCAAAGAGCCAAGGTGAATTGGCTTACCCATGGGGAGGATGATTTAAAGTTTCTATACTCCAAAATCAACATCACCAAAAAATATAGCTGCATCAAAGAGATCATTACTGACCTAGGTTCTTTCACTACTCACCATGACATTTCCTAAGTTTTCATCAACCACTATTTTAAGCTCTTCAACACCACAAAGCCTCCTCTCTCTGCCCAACAACTCCATGACATCCCTATTGGCAATGTGATCCTTGATCACCTTCTTTCTTCCCTTACTGCTCTGATCTCTATGGAAGAAATTAAAAACATTATCTTCTCTGACAAGGCTAATTCAGCTCCGGGACCTGATGGTTTTACCTTTGAGTCTACAGATCTACTTGGAACACTCTAAAACACCAATTATGCAATATTATGAATTATTTTTTTCTCTACTGGTCACATGCCAAAGCAAGTCAAAGCCACGGCCATTTCCCTTATTCTAAAACACCCTCATGCAAGCAATGTCAAAGTATTTTAGGCCGATTTCCCTTTTTAATGTTATTTACAAAGTCATTGCAAAAATTATTGCTAATATGATGAAAGTGGTAATGCCCTCTATCATACATCCTAGCCAAGGTAGTTTCATTCAGAAGAGAATCATTACGGACAATATTATCCTAGCTACTGATCTTTTGGGGAGCTTTAATAATAAG